GTTAAGACCTGGCACGAGGGTGTGAAAACCCTAACCAGGAAACTGGGTCATATAGGTCCAGTTAGGCTCAATGGCTGGGGACCTCGGGATGACCGTAACCGATGGTTAGGGACACTGAGTGATATGGCTGGGTGTCGTAAACAGTGGCGTTCGTGCATCTTCGCAATCTCTTTGCAACCTTAGACCAGTGAACTTCTCCATTCTTTTTTCGGCTCCACTTCCAAGTTCCCTTTTTTCTCCTATTCTTCATCCAAATGGGCAGCCAAAAGACAGCAACCAAATCCGGCGCACTAATATGCGTGGTTAATGGTTCAAACTGAACTGATAGAGGATGAGTGCAGGCACAGGCTCCTATCAGTCTTGAACAGGCACATACCCTACACATACTGCATCCTCGATGCAGTGTGGGTATATTCGTAGTTTGTGTATGCATTAGGGTTTGATGCTCGGGTAGTACTAGGGTTTCTAGTCACAAAGCAGCAGAACGATTCGGGTTCTCGTCCAAAGCCTTAAGGTATATCAAGAACCTAAATGCAAGGCTAAGTAAAGTGAGATCCATTCACTGGGATCGATCACTCCTTTATTTTACCGACTGAGATAAAAACTCAGGTCAAAAAACGTTCCCCTGAAGAAAGGTGGGTAGTTTCGGGATAACTAGGTACAGAACTGAAAAAGGGCTGAATACCGCATGCAATGTACCGATATTAGGCTGAGAGCGTCACAAAAGATTTAAATTTCAAAGATACATACAAGATACGCAGGACGGTAGATCTAAATTCCGTTATGAACAAATAGTTTATAATTATAAATATTGGGAACGACTGACGGTATTAACCTACTTTTCATTGATCTAATTTATTTTGTCACAAAACTATCAACCGATTTTCATATTACTTATTAGCATCTACTACTGTTTACCCTGCTACGTTGCAGTTCCTGGAATTTACCCACTTTTTCGAATTCCCGAGGTGTGCGACATAGCAGGAGATTGACTATATTTCCTTCTCACTGTATTCGAACTGGTTCACTCTCGTTTTCCATCACGACGAAACTGCACCTTGATATGGTATGATGACCAAACGATCTACACAGGATGGATTTTGTCAAACCGAAGATCTAATCATGCCTGGAGAGTCAAAGGGTAGAGGTCCGACGAAGTTCAGTCTTCTGGTCCTCCAGGTTAGGGGTTCGACATAATTTGTTTCAGTCGGTGAAAATAGTGGAGGAGTAATCGATCTAAGTAAATGGGCCTCTACTTCGCTTCACCCGCTGCCTTGTGGCTAGGTTCTTATCAGAACTAAAGGCTTTGCTTGAGAACCCTAGTTGTTCTCCTGCTTAGTGGCTGAACACCCTAGCAGTACCCGTCCATCAAACCCCATTGCATATGCATTACGAGTTTGGCAGCGATCAGTGAGGTGCACTTCTCTGTATTTCGTTGTACGATGATGATGATTTCTGGTGAGCATAAAACTCTCATTGATTACTTACTAAGTCAACCAGTGTACCACAAAGGGACTCCGGTGAATTTACAGGTAGACGAGTTTCTCTTCTCCATTTCGATTTCCCAAACTCATATTTATTCAATAGTAACTAAATTATGTAGATAGTTCATGGACACCATGATCGTTGGTCTTTGGAAAGCGTGGTAGTGGTGCTCTAGCAACCGTCAGGGGATGTAATTTTGATCGATGCATTCCTGAGCCACGCGAAACCCAGCTTACTCCTCATTCCCATTCTAATCTACGAAGAATGACGGGAGCTACGGCTTCGACGCTGTTGGAATAGAGCTTACTTACTTACTTCCCTGTGGTTGGTGCAAACACTGCGAAGGTCTTTCTCAAAGACGGGAACAACAATCGATTCCCTCCACGAGAATAGTTGTTCAGTGCTCCAAACTTTAGAGAACAGAGCTTGCAGTTCTTTAGCAAGCTCCATTCCGCCATCTTTCAATAGAACTGGACGGAAGCTATCGAAACTCAAGGATTTGTGACTTTCCAAGGCTTGGATCTCCTTGCGGATATCCGCCTCAGAAGGTGGGTTTATTGAGACAGACAATGAGATGTGTGTCGGAATGGCTGTGGGAGAAGCTGACGTTGATGACCAGCTAAACTGTGCCTCGAAGTTCACCCAGCGTGTAAGACGTCGCTGTTGACTATAGATAAGCGAACCATCGGCTTCATAGACTGTTTCGCTCACACCCGAAGTTTTCCCTTGGGTTACCCGGATGAGCTAGAACAGCTTGCGGGAATTCCCAATGGAAACAGCACGTATTGAGACCACCAAATTTCGCGGTCTCTGCTTAGGCTTACTTTAGATTCACGTCTCGTTACGAGTCGTGCTTCTTTATGCTCGCTATCGGTCGGAATTGACCGCGGTGCACCAAGAAGGCACAGATTCATCAGGCCATAGCTTACTAACGCAACACAATACATAGCATCTTTAAATAAAATTGACAATAACGCGATGTAGGCGTTTCGAAGTAAATGTTAAAATTACTCGCCACGCCGCTGAACTAAGCTTGATTCTCTCTCTCTCTCTCTGAATCATCGCTCTCATGACTTAGGAAATCGGAACACCATAGTGAACAACAGTTGACAAACGTCGAATAGTTGATTAAATTAGAGTCATTTAATAAATGGAAATCATTTAAACAGGTTCGACGATCTCATACTGTATTTTCCGCTTCCTCGACTTTTCCCTCTACTATGTTTAGTCGGCCACCAGCTAAGCGTTATACAAAACTTAGCATACGTTCTTTCCATGTTAAATAGGTAGGTTATTTTTTTCATCTTTTTTTCAGCGTCATCCCAAACCCCTGAGACTAAGGGATGCATCGGATCGTTAAAACTTCACGATATTCTGGCCGTATTCGTGTCCTGTAGCTTTTGCTATGCTGAATCGGGTACGTGACCCAGCAGCACACGTCAAAACGAAGCCTCCGCTGACATCACAGAAACCGGAACCGCTGGTCCGGACAGAATGGGCCCGATTCATTTGCGGTGGTATCGCGGGCACGGTGTCTCGCACAATGACTGCACCAATCGATCGATTGAAGGTGCTCCGACAAACTGGAGTCCCAGAAGTGGCCGGCAAGAATATGCTTCAAAGTGAGTGACGAGGTATGCTGATCTAACTAACTGTTAATTAAGTAAGTAGTTTCCAACTGTTATTGAATGTGTCCTGCATCTGCCCGTCGTATGAGCTAAATCCAGCTTCTGTTGCCTCCCATAGGAGAGGTGTTGCATCATGGTTGTCAACTGTTCACGGTTCGTGGTTCAGTTTTAGCTTCTGTCTGTCCCATTGGAGTGTGATGTACGCCATCTGATCTTCACCGCGGAATATGATAATGAATTAGAACTAGCAGTATTGCGTTTCCACCACCATTGGAAAATGATAACCAGTGATACTCGTTTTCCTATCGATCATAACAGAACTGTTCATCGTTCGTTCAAGTCCGTTATTTGTATGCATTATTGACTCTGAACACATTCAGTTGGCGATGGTTTTGCTTATTGTCTCCCGGTTTCCTATTTAATAGATCATGAGGGAAGAAATCGATGATCGAGTTGAAGCCAAGTAAATTCGATCCGTTCCGAGATTGAGTAAATGCTTGAACGCTACTGCCTACGACACTCAGTCGTTCTCATCATTAGTTACCTTTTTTGTATTACACTCATTGGTATGGTAAACAGCTGACGGGAAATTGATCCCTCTAGTCAAGAAGACATGATGCTCCGTCATGGAAATCGGTAACCTAAGCCCCGGGACTTGGAGTGGTGAACAACTTCGCTCGGTTATGCGTGGTATTGAATCGAAATTCTCAACTAGGACGTATAATGCAACGTACTAAGCGAGTCCTTTGATTAGGCTCTCCATAGGCTTATACCATTTCTCAGTTCACCTAACTTCCGGCGAGTTTGTCTCCGCAGGTTTTGTTCAATACGGCATTGATATTGATGTTCAAACACCGATAGTCTGTTTTCGTCCTTTTCTCTTGGTAATCACGGTTCTGCACCGTACCGTTCGATCAGCTGTAGCACACACCTTGGACCCTTGACAAAAAACCGAACATCACTCATTGGTGCACCAAACGTATACTCAGTACGCAAACGCCAGCTAGGTTTTCTTTGCCGGATGTTTATTTGAGATTAATCTTTCAGGACTGATGTAGCTGTCCAACTGGAAACAGGTGTTTACTTTTTCAAATTTTGGATTGTGAGAAAAAAACAATAGCTCCGGTGGGGGTGCATATATGTATATTTAACTATTTGGAGGTCCATGAACCACACACACACACACACACCTTCCCACTGGTAGCAGTGGTCACCGGCTCGATTGGGCATCGAGGTGTATTGGGCAACTTGCACATTTGACCCCGTCCGCAGGGTGTATGATCCGATGAACTGGACACCGGCTCCCAATGGATTGTGGTTTTCATACCGCCTCACCGCCTTGCGAGTCAGACTAGCTAACCAAAGGCTCCGGTTGTGGATTCCTGAATAAAATTCACCTGCCTTGGCCTGGGAAACCTGGCAGTATTCCACTCATGCAAATCAAGGAACGTTTTTCTTTTTCATAAAGATTCTTGTACCATGATTTGCTTGGCACACAGTCTGGATTTAGACATATATGAAAATAATAATAATAATAACAACAATACTTTCATTTAGCCACATTGTGATGCGTAGCGCATGCGAAATGCTCATTTATTGTGAGGTAATTAGAATGCAGTTTTTCATTGATAAGTGTAAACAAATTATACTGCGCAATTTATATTCGGATATTTTTTCCAGTGTCGCATGGACTAATGTAACCAATAGCGCCGAGAAAACGCCGATCTGGACCAGTGTGTACAATAACAGTAAACATGTCTTCCTTGTAAGGACTTTGGGGTTTAAATTTTGGAGCTTACGACGGGGGGGGGGAAGGGATTCTGTTCGATCTCTTTCACCATGACCCAATATGCAACATCCAATCCCCTGAACTTGTCACCCCTCCCCTCTCTCTCCCCCCCCGGGCTACTTGTGTCTCAGTTCACCTATTCCTCATGTTTGCATCATCCCCCCTCCTCCTATAGGTTGGCGCATTATGATTATCGAGGGTGGTGTGGTTTCCTTGTGGCGAGGCAATGGAGTAAACGTGCTGAAAAACTGTCCGGAAAGTGCAATCCGATTCGGTATGCACGGTTGGCTCAAATCGATCCTGTTCCCAGAGGTCCAAGGTCAGCTCAAACCGGAACAGCGCCTTTTGGTCGCTGGTCTGGCCGGAGCGGCCTCTCTCACTTGTACATATCCTGTTGAAGTAAGTCCGTTTTAACTTGGAACTGTGTGTTTTGTTACACAATCCATTTACATGACACGGTGCACATAAAGTCTCGGTCGATTTGTTTTTTTTTTTCTAGTGTGCTGAACAGCAGATGGGGAAAGGTCCATAGTCACAAGGACCTGTTGTTCAGTGATGGGAACCGGTAACCCGAAGCTCCGCGGGACTTGGAGTGGCAAACCTCATAAGCCCCCCTCCCCGCCGCTAGGTGTGATATTGAACCGGACGACAGCAAATCTGCCTACCACGAAAGTTAGGTGGCAGTGGCGGGTTTCAAACCTCGGACCAAAGGGTCCAATGCATACTGATGACAGCGACTAAACTACTGCACCGCCTCCAGCGAACTTCTGTATTCCTAAATACCGGTACAATACACGACAGCTTTCAGAGACTAAGTACTTATCCAAGGCTTATTTCATTCCATAGGAGGAAGCCTATCTGGATGCCTTCACGGTGGAAACATTACCTCTCGATTAGGCAAACATGCTAGTTTAGTCTGGAAAAGTGGTAGAATATGGACAATCAAAACGTTGAGGCATCTGTTTCTCTTAATCCAGTTTTTCATTACAGAAAGATAGAAAGAAAACAGATAACCCAAGATATTGACATTTCTCGCGCTCACCGGTGGCAGCGTGCAAACGGTGTTGTTCATCTTCACATCGACACGTATCTGTTTCGGAGGACGCCACCAAGCTTTCAGTGGAATAACCCCTGGCTCACAAGTTGACCACTGTGTATGTAACCGACCTGACTCGGTGCGCATTGAACGGATTTTAGATGCCCAGGCTAACCCGTACTTGATCCACCTGTTCAGTTTATCCCAGTTTCAGTGCCTGAAACTTTAGGGCACGACATACTTCGCGGTAGCCCCCATACCGACAAAAGGGGTTTTTCTTTGGGAACCCTGACCGGAGCCTTTGACTCAAAAGTCTGACCCACAAGGCAGTGGGGCGTAAAACAATGCAGAGCGTAAACGAAGCACTCGTATGGGACCTTCTGGAGACCTGTCACACAAGGCCTTCGATTTTCGAATAATTGTGTTGTTCACTGGTGCGTTGATTATCGGCCCGCTTTTCGGGATCGGCCCTTAATCTCATGCACCCAGTGTTCGTTGGTACTCCCCTCCCGGATGTTTTTCAGCTCTTCTCAATCAGTTACCTATCGATTTAGAACCGGGATAACATCACACTTGTCCGCGTTCAAACTATGTGCCAAATGAATCACCGAGCAGCAATTTTTAGATAGTTATATAGCTATACAGATAATAGATTGCCTCGTGATTAACTGGTAGGCGGAATGGTGCTAGGTTGCCCAGACCCAAGCAAGTGATTTTTCTCGGGATATTTACAACCGGAGCTTTTGAATAACCGAAGCCTGTTTAGCCATCCCGTTGATCGGATCCTAGGCCTCGTGGACAAAATCAAATGTCGACGGTGCTCAACACACTCGGGTACCAAATCAAGCCTGTTGACCACTGCCTGAACCAGAAAGGTGCAGCTGGGGTTTGGGATTAGGGGTTTTTGCTAACTCCGGTCACTGAAATACCGATTTTAGTCTGGGATATATGCTCCCCCCCACTCACCTTGGTGATGGTGGTGGTGGTGGTTGTAGGATTTCCCCAATGGAGAATTTTTGATAACATACCGGTTTAAAACCTAGTGCCTTCGGCAGAAAAACGTCAGAAAGATGAAAACACTGGACTGTAACTACCTCGGAAGAATAACGGAAACATCACGGAGAGATTGAATATCAAACATCAGTGACAATCGCCAGTCATCATAGACTATCACCGTTGACAGTAAATTTTTTCACATCCTGCGATGTTGACCGGTCTTATTATGTAATTTCTTCCTCGTTCCACCGCCAGCCCAATCCAGCTTGGTGCTGGAACTCCTGAAGGTTCATCGAGTGTACTGACGCATCCTCTCGCCGGGGATAGAAGTGAAAGGAGATCGAAAATGTGTCATACAACTGCCTCATTTGTGTCCAACTGTCACCTCTCGGTTCTCGAATGACGGCTAACTGGTGCCAAAGAACTTCCCAAGTGCATCCTGTTTGAAAATAGCCGACCCATTCATGTTTTCCGGGAAAGTTGCCTTTGTTAGCCTATTGCGCCTCACATAAGAGGTCGTGTAGTTTGTGGTCCAATTTGTCCTGGACTTTATTCGGATGCACGCGGGTGATAAAAAAATTTCCCTCTCTCATGCATGAACATCTAAATCAGACCACATAAAACCGTCCGTGAACAGATATAGTTCCAGTTTCACAGTTTGTACAACTATGCACTTTCGTGCACCGGTTTTGGTTGCTGTCTTTTGCCTGCCCGTTTGGATGAACAAAATGAGAAAGACAGGAAAGGTTGAAAGTAGTAGGGTTGAGGAGAAAATTGAAAAGTTCAGTGGACTAATGATACACAGAAATTGAGAAGATACACGAACACCACTGTTTACGACACCCAGCCATATCACTCAGTGTCTCTAA